TTGGACATCGGGGCTGCGGGGGCTTCGTCAAGTCGGACGTGGAGATCAACTACTCGCTCATCGAGGTGAGCGCTCGCCCCGCGGCCCGGCCGGAGCTGGCTGTGTGACCCTGGGCCGATTACTCAACCTCCCTGGGCCGCGGTGGTCTCTCCTCTGACACCGAGCGGTTGCCACTAGCCCCTCGTCCCCGGAGTCCTTTCCCCTTTAAAGGCGCCACTTGACGCGGGGCCCTCCGCCTTCCGGGACGCGCTGGAGTGAAGGTTCCTCCCGAGGGGCCGGCTCTGCAGGCGGTATGGGGGCCAGAACCCGCGTGCGCTGGGGTGTGAGGGACATTTCTGGTGATGGTGGTGCATAACTTGTACCAGATCACTCAAAACCAAGGGTCCTCCAAACCAAGGCCCCCAGATTCTTGAAAGCCCAAACTCCAGCTCCGCAGCATGCAGAGTCAAGGTAATCCAGAACCCAGACTGTCCCCAGCTTCCAGGCCCAGATCTCCCAACACCCAGTCTCAGCAGGACCCAGGCCCCTGGGGACCCGATCCAGGTCCTCAAAACTCGGACCCCCTGAAACTCAGATTTCCCAGAAGCCATATTCCGGAACCTAGAGACCACAAGTCTTACCCCCAAACTCCACAACTCAGTGCCCCCAAAAGTTCTGTTCCCCCCCCCTCCCCTCCCCAGCCACACACACACACACTCACTGGGATGCTTTTAAAGAGCAACAGTTCCCATCCCAGAGATCCTGATCCAGTAGATCTCTGTTGGCATCTCTGGAGCTGGGAATCTGTATATTTAATCCCTGGCCCCCTTTGCTTACCCCCTTGGGACTCTGTGCTATCCTGATTGCCATACTGGGTAGTTATTGGAATTACACTAGAGATTGGTGCAGAAGTCTTTTTATTAAGTTGCAAAGCCCTAGGCAGTTAGATGATGATCAGTCCAGTGGAATTATGGCCCAGAAAGCTTTGTGATGAGGAAGTAGGGATAGAAAGTCACTTGTCAGGGTGAGTGGGCAGGGACCCAAGGGAAGGGTGGCTTCTATTTTAGGTTACTGATGATGGGGCAGAAGATAAGGATTTAAAAGAGAAAAAAAAAAAAAAGAACCAAAAAGATGCCAAAAAAGAAGGGACTGAGGACTGAGACTCCAAAGGCTGCCCGAAAGCACGTTGGAGCCTCCCCGGGGCTGGCAGCTGCAGGGCTGTGGTGAAGGGTAAGCTGGTGTTCTGCAAAGGTTGCTGAGGATTGGGGCAGAGGGAGGAAGCCGATGCCATGCCCCACTTGCTCTTTGACCTGGCCTTGCCCCAAGTGCCAATTTATTCCTGTAGATGGTGTGAGAGAAGCAGCAGGACCTGGTGCCGTATATTTCCTAAAGAAGATAATCAGTTATCACCTTTCAGGCCCCTCAGTCTGTGGCTTCTCCACCATTTTTGACCTTAAGAAGTTGGGTGTTTAATCAAAGGCTCTACCCACTGGCAGGGGCAGGGCTCCGAGGGTCAGCTGGGTACCCCACCTCCTGGATTGCCTGCAGTGTGTGGGCATGGGGCATTTCAGAAGCTGCCTGGATAGGCTTTTTTGTAGCTTGTAGTTTCCTGGGACTCTGGGAGGAAAGTGAAGGCAGTTAGGGGCACTCCCACCCCAAACACGATAGTGACCTTGAGAGCCGGGCAGGTATTGTGACCTAGTATTAACTGTGCTCGGTGAGCCCAAGGCTGCCTGTCCAGATGGTCTGACACATTTATTCTTTCATAATATCTGATTATGAAATCAGACATTTCATATGTGTAATGTATATTGTCACCCTGTGTCCTGATCTGTACTTAATGAAAGACAATGCAAATAATCAAGATGTTTCACAATAATTTCTTGATTGTATTTTCTGTCTCCTAATAAAACTACTTTTACTCTTTCCTAGCCTTCTTCCCTTCTGTGTGTTTTTCCATCATAAGCATTCAGTCAGTAACTATGGTGTGAGCCCCTGCTTGTACTGAAACTGTCCAGGGTGGGGATATAGCAGTATAGTAAACACAACAGACAAAAATCCCTACAAAAGAAAAATAATATTGGTTGCTGATACTCTGACAATTAGGAGATTTCATTTTAAAAACTGGATTCCTGATTTCTCTGGAAAACCAGCTGATCTTTGGGTTGCAAACCTTGGTTTGG